ATCAAATGCACAGCAACTGCAAATGCACACTTGCAAAGTTTTTGTATTTTATATATTTTATGTCCAAGAGTTTAATTCATACCACCCACCTTGAAAAATATATTACAACTGAGATAAAATTGGGCATCTGTGTTATGTAAACCCAAGACTGGAACAATGTTTACAACTGTATGGTATTTTGATATGATAAATCTGGTTCAATGACAGTACCTTCTTCAATGATTTGAGCAAAAGAACACCACAACCTTCTCCTCTTCCATAGCCATCTGCCTTTGTTGAAAAAGGTTTGCTGATTCCATCAGGTGAGATAATTTTTGCTTTGGTAAGGGATATAAAAGTTCGAGGATCTATTATACAATTCACTCCTCCACAAAGAGCCGCTTCACAATCCCCTGTGTCATTAAAAAAAGTATTTTGGTTTAGCTTTTCTGCAAGACATTTAAAATAAAATAATATTGTCTTTCACTTATTTAATATCAACAGTGAGAATTCCACTTCTATTTAACAGCTGTTAGCACAGCTTCACGGTCTCTTATGACATAAATTAATAAATATATGATTGGTCAATATAATCACAATATTTCAGGTTCCAAAAAAAAAAACAAAAAACCCTAGCTAGGTAAAATGTTTATTTCGCTCGCTCATGTATCAAATCAGTAGCGGACCCCCCTGTTTCACTTGTGGAGTAACTACTGGCAGCACTTCACTGAAATGATTTGCATGGTCAATGTGAAAGAAAATGCTTGTATTTTGTCCTTAGAGCTAATACAAATGCCTTATAAACCAGCGAGGGGAACTCATGTCCTATAAACCTCCCTTGCTTCTTGAGCCACTTCTTGTGCCTGCTTTCACTGGTATAGCTAAAAATATAGGGGGCAGTCCCTTGTCCTGACTAAAAAGATGATGCAGGGCCTTCCGCCACCCAGAATCAGGGTGTGTTTGGTCTCTTGACTACACTGAGAGATGCTGAATGGACATTAAGAAATCCAGAATAGCACAAGCTTGGAGATGAATAAAGAACAACAGAACCACAGACCACTATGGCCTCCAGTAGATTAGAAAAAGTGTAAAACATATAAATCAATATAATATGTACTGGGGCACATGTGTAAGAAATTTCTGAGAATGGCAAAAATATTCAGTGAAGGACAGAAGTGAAGATCTACTTCAAAGATGAGTGTGTTGGTTGTGGGGGCAACAGGTGATTGGAAATCATTTTATTTTTATACTCTTTGTTATGCTAAAAGGTAGCAAGTACTAACACAACATTTCTGTAAGTTAAAATATCTGAATATATATAATTTTCTATGGTGTGTGACGTTATAAGACAAATTACCAAGAATGTAACTACTATTAGATGGGAAAGTTAGCCGTTATAAAAAGACAATTTTGAAAACCTATGAATATTGTGGCAGTCTGAGTTGATCATCAGTTTCTTGTCTTGTGATCTGCTTACTTTTGAGAAGAAATAATTAACAGGCTCAAGTAAATCCTGTCCTTTATGTAGAACCAAAGGGTGGTATTATCGGTATGGTGTAGTGATTTGAATGTTGGCCTAGGATCTAGGAGACCCAGGTTCAAACCCCTACTCTGCCATGGAAGCCTGCTGGGTAATCTTGGGCTGGTCATCCACTGTCAGCCTAACTTACCTCACAGGCTTGTTGTGAGGATGCAATAGAAGAGATGAGCATGATGTAAGCCACTTTGGGTTCCCATTAGCAAGAAAGGTGGATATTATGAATAATAATAATGAGAAGAAGAGTTGGATTTATACCCCGCCCTTCACTTGGAGTCTCAGAGTGGCTTACAATCGCCTTCCCTTTGTCTCTCCACAACAGACCCCCTGTAAGGTAGGTGGGGTTGAAAGAGTTCTGAGAGAACTGTGACCGACCCAAGGTCATCCACCTGGCTTCATGTGGAGGAGTGGGGAATCAAACCCGGTTCTCCAGATTAGAGTCCTGCTGCTCTTAACCACTACACCAAACTGGCACCAAACAGATAAATATTTGAATCAAGGCTCTGCCCCCATGGGAATTAGAAATGAATTCCCAGTATGGAAGTCTTCGCTGACCTGTGACTGACCAGGTCAGGTCAGGGAAGCCAGACACAATATGCTGAAAATTAAAATGTGTAATTTTGCCCAGAGACTTGAAACTAGCATAATACACCACACAGTATCTTTGGGCCTTGTCAGAAACATATTTCAACACATTACTGCCCAAGCAACACTTTATGGTGCTAAATAGCAAACATTGTAAGACTCCATCCGTATACCTTGCTTAATTGCAAGGCAGGCAAAATGCAAAGCATGGTGAAACGAGGAGCAGGCGGTGTCAATAGCCATGGATGGCCCAGTCAGATTAAAAGTGTATGAGATCCGGTTAGGAGCTATGCTCATTGCCGCCCCAGTCACATCATAATGGTTTATTTCAGTGGTGGCCTGCCTGCTTACGTGCTCATAGTCTCGATTCATCATACCTGTAAGAATAGCAAATAGTCTTCCATTAGTAACATAACTACATAGGAGAGCATGTAAAATATTCACCTTGAAAAACCTGATTGTACTCACTGCTCTAAGTTTGTCCGTCCTCCAATCAATGCAGCTAATGTTAAAAAGATTAAACTGAGGCCCTTCATTGAGTCAACTTCATTAGGAAAGGTTACACAAATATTTAAAGTTTTTGTTCTGTTGCAGTTCATCTGAGTGGTTAGATGACTAGAGTTAGAGCCTTCCTATTATAAGAGATTAAAGCAGGGACCAAGTTTAAATGCCGCATCTTACCTTGGACTTATAAAAAACCCTAACCATAGATGGGCGTTCATTGAACTTTTCTTTTAAATACTTTGACAAGTGTCCAGATTGTGCCTCACCATGTCATGCAGTCAACTCCCACCATGCCATGGGGTCAACTCACAATCTAAAGATTTTTCTAGGAAATGTCAAATTAATTACCAACCCCGCATTAAGAGTTTAATACGTTTAAAGAGCCAAATAATTGGAAAATAGAATACTTATTGACTTGAATAAGTCCAAAAAAGTTGTCTGACTCAGCCCTATGTCCTCTAGCTGAAGTCCTTAAAATACTAAAATTATTTTTAGCATCAGCTACTTGTCTCACCAACAAAAACTCCTGTTTTCGTGTTGCTAATATCTTCTCTAGTAACTCCTGCATCTTCCAGCGCTCTGTACGTGCATTCTAAAAGGAGTTTCTGCTGGGGATCCATACGTCCTGCTTCCATTTCATTGATTCCAAAAAGCAAATTATCAAACGCATTAAACCTAAGAAAGAGATCAAATAATTGTAAAAATGTAAAGGAAATATATTATCAACCAACTGCACATTCATTTGTCATGGCAATCAAAAGTTTTGGATTAAAAAGTCCTCTCACTAGCAATTTTAAGTGTAGATTTTTTTTATCAATGTTTTTAGTGCTGACAAAATGGCAAAAATGCAGTCTCATCTGTAATGTATGATGCATCCCTTCTGCCTAACAGAAGTCAATTGGGGGCTGAGCAACAGTTAAAAAATACACAGAGAGTGATTAAAATGTGGAATTCGCTGCCAGAGGACGTAGTGATGGCCACAGGAATAAACAGTTTTAAAAGGGGATTAGATAGATTCATGGAAGAAAGGTCCATCAGTGGCTACTAGCCATGGCGACTGAGCAGTCAACCTCTGAATCCCAGAGCCAGGAGGCAACATCAGGGGAAGGCCTTGGTTTCTATGCCCTGTTGGTGGCCCTCTAAAGGAACTGTTTTGCCACTGCATGAGACAGGATGCTGGACTAGATGAATCACTGGTTTGATCCAGCAGGGCTGTTCTTATGTTCTAATGTTCCTAATTGAATTCAAATATGGGAAACAGTATAACAGTTTTAACTGATTTAATATGGGGGAAAACCAAAACAATGATAAATAAGATTAAACGTAGTGCTATTGAGAAATTATAATTTGCTGTTAGATGTTGCCAGGCTTGTCATTTTAGTACTGCTGGTGTCCAATTAGGGAACTTTGATTTTGGGAAGAAGAAGAAAACAATGGAATCCTCTCATTTAAAAAACAGAGTATAGCAAAGTTCAAGTGCTAACAATTCAGGGTCTTAACAGCTTACAACTTGTTTTAGATGTTGCTAGGCTCATCTGTCAAAATCCAAATATTGCCACGGTCTTAAGAGTTTCACTCAACAAACTAGCTTTTTTCCTCCTTTTAAAAAACCTTTATATTTTGTAATATCTGGCTTGATGAAGAGTTCTGGAGAGGTCAAAAGTCCTATTGCATTGTGTATTGAATGCTATACACTTATGGCCAGGACTGGAGCCCTACGAGGCCCAGGCAGTGGGCAGGAACCTCTGGTGGCCCGGCCAGAAGTGATCACGGCCAGGATGGAAGTGGTGACCCAATGCTGCTGGAAGGGTGGGCTCTGATCCCTGGCCAGGTCTTTAAAGGTGAGAGACTTACCTGCTGGGGATGGTGAGGAAGAGTGGTGATGAGGCAGATGCAATAATGGGGGCACAGAGTGGGCAGAAGCGAAAAGCCTCCTGAAGATACCAGTTGAAGATGTGGACATGCTGGTGGTGGAAGGCTTCCCAGAGGAGGAGGCAGCAACCTCCCAGGCCCGACAGGCAGCCTCATGTCTGGAGGTGCCCGGTGGGGCTGAAGAACTGGAGGAGGGGATGGTGTCTGATAGCAACAAGGCAGGGGCAACTGGAGTGGCAGAGTACCTGAGGTGGTGGTGCCCAGCAACAGCAGCAAAGTTGGGGTGGCCACAGTGGCAGCAAGACAAAGTCAAAGGCAGATACCCAGGGGAGAACAGTGGCAGATGGGGCACAGGAGGAGCCCATTGGAACTGTGCATCCTTTGGAAGGAGGACCCTGGGAGATACTGGGAGGGCCTACCTGGCAGGAGTCTGGGGACTGCTGCAACAGATGCTGGTTGGACACTAAGGAGGGATGCTTCCTCTTAAGAGCTAATAACGGGATGGGTACAGGTTGCATTTGGGTGTGTCATGGTATTAGGGTCGTTTGCTGTATTAGGCTCATAGTGGGGGTGTGGTGGCCAAGGAGGAACCTGGGAGAGTGATCTCCTGGCAAAGTACCCTTGGAGGGGGGAATCCCCTGATCTGAAGCCACATAAGACCACAAGAGTGTTTGTTTGAATTTTTGTACACACTGAAACTCAAAGCAGATTTTTTATATAATATAAATAAAAAGGTGGGATATAAGGTGGGATATAAATGAAGTAAAACAAACAGATAAGATAATAAATTGAAAGATCTGTAACTGTAAAATTGGACACATAATTAGGCAGCAATAAATACTAACAATTTGATTTTCTGTTCACTAGACAACATTTATAGAAGTGTTTATCTTCTGCTCCAGCAGTATAAATAATGTTTCACTTACTCGTCAATTAAAGCTGCATGCCTTGTGCTTGTTTTTCCTGGTTTGCTGTTGTCTGGATCGTACCAGTCTATGGAATCAAATCTCTCTGGTGGTATTTCTACAGTACAGTTTCTGCCTTCTACTAGCACTTGCCAGAAATTATCAATTCCTTCACCTGTAGTTAAATATTGTTGAAATTTGATTTTTAAATGAAGTAGAAATCTTGCTTCTTTTGATGCAATTAATTTAATACTTACAAAAATACAGTTCTAATAAAAGGAAAGCCAGGTAATCATGAAATGATCATTCTATAATGGCTGCCTTTATAAATCCTTTTGGTTCATAATACTCTGGGCTTTACCACAAACCGCCCCCCTCCCAAAGTCAGTACCGTGTTTTCCTTTCTATACCCTCTGATCTCATTGTCTTGTCTGCTTTTATAGAGACGTACATGTGCCTGTTCTTTCAGGTTTGCTGTTTCCAGATAATAATAGTTTTAGGAGTCAGACATTTCTGGAGATATTCCTAGAGCACAGGCTCTTCCTTCTACATATACTTGTCAGAAATGATTAATTCCTGGTCATTATGTAACAGATATTCTTTTGAAATTGAAAAAAAAAAAACTAAATTCATAGTCTGTAATATTTTAGTTATATTAGAAATGAATGGTGCTTACCTCCAGGAAAATTGCACCCAATCCCCACAATGGCAATTTCATCTGTAGTTTCCATCATTTAACACATATATTGTAAACTCAAAAAGATTTCAACTGAATTGCAAGTGCCGGACTCTGGCTGGACACTAAGGACAGATGCTTCCACCTAAGGGCTAATAAGGGGGTGGGCACAGGTTGTGTTGAGGTGTGTCATGGTGTTAGGGTCTTTTGCTGTATTAGGCTCATAGCAGTGGTGTGGTGGCCGAGGAGGAACCTGGGAGGATGATCTCCCGCTGAAGTATGCTTGGGGGGGGGATCCCCTGGTCTGAGGACACACACACGCATATATGCAGATAGATAGATAGATAATAAATAGAAAGATCTGTAACTTAATTTTTCTTAAATATGCTTGTAAAATTGGACACATAATTAGGCAGCAATAAATACTAACAATTTGATTTTCTGTTCACTAGACAACATTTATAGAAGTGTTTATCTTCTGCTCCAGCAGTATAAATAATGTTTCACTTACTCGTCAATTAAAGCTGCATGCCTTGTGCTTGTTTTTCCTGGTTTGCTGTTGTCTGGATCGTACCAGTCTATGGAATCAAATCTCTCTGGTGGTATTTCTACAGTACAGTTTCTGCCTTCTACTAGCACTTGCCAGAAATTATCAATTCCTTCACCTGTAGTTAAATATTGTTGAAATTTGATTTTTAAATGAAGTAGAAATCTTGCTTCTTTTGATGCAATTAATTTAATACTTACAAAAATACAGTTCTAATAAAAGGAAAGCCAGGTAATCATGAAATGATCATTCTATAATGGCTGCCTTTATAAATCCTTTTGGTTCATAATACTCTGGGCTTTACCACAAACCGCCCCCCTCCCAAAGTCAGTACCGTGTTTTCCTTTCTATACCCTCTGATCTCATAGTCTTGTCTGCTTTTATAGAGACGTACATGTGCCTGTTCTTTCAGGTTTGCTGTTTCCAGATAATAATAGTTTTAGGAGTCAGACATTTCTGGAGATATTCCTAGAGCACAGGCTCTTCCTTCTACATATACTTGTCAGAAATGATTAGTTCCTGGTCATTATATAACAGATATTATTTTGAAATTGTAAAAAATTAACTAAATTCATAGTCTGTAATATTTTAGTTATATTAGAAATGAATGGTGCTTACCTCCAGGAAAATTGCACCCAATCCCCACAATGGCAATTTCATCTGTAGTTTCCATCATTTAACACATATATTGTAAACTCAAAAAGATTTCAACTGAATTGCAAGTGCAGCATAGGAAGACCACTGGTCCGTCTAGCTCAATATCATCTCCTTTGACTAGCAGGAGATTTCCCAGCTCTTCCTGCATGAGATCTTTAGAAGGAGCTGCCAGGAAACCTTTGACTTTTTGCTTTTATAGTTCTTTCAGCCTTGTGAGATACAGGATGAACACTTAAGTTATAAGCAATGGGAGGGACATTGTTGACAGGTGTGACATTCAAGCTGTGCTTTTGTTTCTTCTTCATGTGTCCAGATAAAAGTAGAGCTGTGACTACATGTGCAAGCCCTTAGGTATGAGCCAGACACCAGGAGCCAAAGGGCTTATGGTCCTTGGCACTTAGCCTATAGCTTCTGGCCTTCAGCCAGCTGGCTCGTTGGATCCACAACCAGTCCAAAATATAGCTGGTTATTGTTTGTTTTACTTAAGTTTTATTGTATTGTTTGTCAATTAGTGTTATCCTAAGCAACCGTGTACAGTGTACCCTTCTAAGTGCATTGATGTCAGTGACCTTAGAAAGACATCTCTGGCAGGATACTAGCACGGCATAAATCTTGATATTTTAGATCCTCTATATGTCTTGATGTTTTATCCTTTTTCTGTCTGGGAAACATACCTTTTCACACTAGCCCATTTCAGATATGTTCTAGTTCTATATAAAAGCAGTGTCTCTAGGAAGTGTACATTTTGTTCTTCAAGCCATGTAAAGGTAAAGGTAAAGGTTCCCTTGCTCGAAAGCCAGTCGAGTCTGACTCTAGGGTTGCGGTGCTCATCTCCGTTTCAAAGCCGAAGAGCCAGCGCTGTCCGAAGACGTTTCCGTGGTCATGTGGCCGGCATGACTAAACACCAAGGCGCACGGAACGCTGTTACCTTCCCACTGAAGTGGTACCTATTTATCTACTTGCAGTTTCTTGCTTTCGAACTGCTAGGTTGGCAGGAGCTGGAACTAGAGATGGGACCTCACTCCGTCATGCGGCACCCGGGTCTCGAACTGCTAAACTACCGACCTTCCACAGCCTGCAGTTCAGCGTCTTAACCACTTGAGCCACCACAGCTCCTTCAAGCCATGTAGCTGTGCATTATTACTTAAAACAGGTTCTATTTAAAAAGCTTTTTCTTTTTTTGCTTTCAAGTCACAGCTGACTTATGGCGACCCCATAGGGTTTTGAATGCAAGAGAGGTTTAGAGGTGGTTTGCCATTGCTGCCTCTACATCAAGACCTTGGAATTCCTGGGAGGTCTCCCATCCAACTCCGAGCCAGAGCTGAACCCTGCCTTAGCTTCTGCGATATGATGACATCAGGCTAGGCCTGGGCTATCCAAGCTAGAGCTTTTAAAAAGCCAGGGAAACAAATATCTGTATCTTCTAAGTATATATTTTTAAAGTTCCTGTTCTTTACCATGTCATTCAAGAGGCAAACAAGCATTTTCAAACTTTAATCTGTGGTGTAGTGGCTAGTGTATCTGCCTAGGATCTGGGCAATCAAAGCCAAGAACCTCCATCCTAAAACCCCAATGGCAGGGACGTGACGGCATAGAACTGGCAGCACTGGTCGGTATCCTATGGCCATTCCACAGAGGGAAAAAGTCACAAACACCCCTTGGCAAGGCTGAGACCACATACGGAGTGCACCTGAGCAAACAGCAGTGTGAGCCCCTAGCAGCCCTGATGACACCCACCAGCCAAGGAGCAGTGTCTCACGAATGCCTGTGATTGGATTATTTATTTATTTTTCGCATTTATATCCCGCCCATCCTGTAAACAGGCTCATGGCGGGTTACACCATGTCCACGAATACGATAAAATCTTTAAAACACATTATAGGCATATAAAATCAGTAGTCGTAGCTTGCCGTAGGGAGAGTCCAGCCCACTGATGTTGGTGGGTGTGGCCGGTTATCAGTAGGTGGGAGACAGCAACCTCGGCGGGGGCCATGGGTGGACGCCTGCTGCCTCAGCCAAAAGCCTGGCGGAGCAGGCTTTTGTTATTCTTTTTGAGCAGGAGGGGTGAGTGACAAGATAAATGGATCTGCAAATGAAATGAGGTTGAAGAGGAAGTAACGAAAATAAAAGCAAATGCATTCCGAGGAGTCAGAGACAGCCATCTGCAGGATGATGAGAGACAAGACAATCTGTACAAAAAAAAGACCAAATGGGCAAGATAAAGAAAAAAGGACATGTCAACAAAACTAGCCGGTCTCAACTGGATTCCGCTAAGAAAAGAAGAGCCCTGCTGGATCAGACCAGTGGTCCACAGTGTTCCCTCTAAGCTGAGTTAGTGTGAGGTAGCTCACAGTTTTGTAGCCTCCGGCTCACACATTTTCTGTCTTCGCTCAGGAAGGGATGGCTCCAGAGCAAACTAATTCATGCAGAAGCCAAATTGCTCACTCACAACTTTGATGCCAGGAGCTCGCAAAGTAGAATTTTTGCTCACAAGACCCCACAGCTTAGAGGGAGCATTGGTGGTCCAGCTAGTCTGGCCCCCTGTCTCACACAGTGGCCAGCCAGTTCCTCTGGAGGTTCAACAACAGGGTTCAGAGGACAAAGCCTTCCCCCTCCCCTTGCCACTCATATTCAGAGGTTTACTGCCTCTGAATATGGAGATTCCCTTTAGTCACTATGGGTAGCAGCCTCTGATAGACCTTTCCTCCATTGATCTCTTTAATTCCCTTTTAAAGCCCCTGTGCCCATGGCCATCACTACAGCCTCTGGCAGCAAATTCTACGTTTTAATCATTCATTGTGTAAAGAATTATGCCAAAATAAATCTGGACAAACACGACCCGATCAGTAAACAAGTATACTAATCCAGGTCAGTGGTGTGCAGCACCATCCATTGCTAACCATTGTCAATCCCTTCTATGAAAATATGAAATTATATTTGCGTTACATTGATGATGTCTTTGTCCTGTATCAAAATGACGTTTGTAATATTAATAATTTTGTGTTATGGATCAACAGTCTTCATCCATCTTTGAACTTTACTGCTAATTACAATGCACAGGAAATATAATTTCTAGATACTTCAGTTTACAAAGATACTAGGAAATACAATTTCTAGATACTTCAGTTTACAAAGATACTAAGAATCACTTAGCTATCAAAAGTTATAAAAAGGACACAGATAAAAATAGCTTTTTGCATTATAAAATCATCATGTGTCCCATATAAAATATGGTTTACCCTTCAATCAACTGATTAGAGCCAAAAGGAACTCTACCAAGGAGGAAGATTACAGAAAGGAGAGTAGGAGAATCTGCCAACAGTTTAGGAACAGGGGCTATCCAGAAACTATAGTGCACAGTGCAGCTTTAAGGGCTACTGAAATAAACAGAGAAAATTTATTGAAATCAAATAAGAAGA